GCAGAGAAAAATTCTTGTAAAAAAAAAATGCAGATCCCTTATTATCTGGAAAATGTATTCTGGGAAAGAAGAAAAAATATCAGAGAGGGAAATTGTATTCTTAAGTGAGCTCAGCAGGGTAAGAGTACTTAGGGAAATGAATTCAGTGTTAATGAAGGCAAATTTAACAAGCTCTGGTTCTTTGATTATTTTGCCTTATGCATGAAGACAAATTCAGAACCCTCAAAGGACTTGACTATAAGAAAATATAAGGTGATTTCATATTTTAGTATTGCTAATTAGTTCATCCACACACACAAATTAAGAGGCCATTAAACTGCCTGCCAGTAACATACAAGGCACTGAAATATAAGAACTTGTAGTCCTATACATTAGAGGATTAATAACACTGGGTCTTATCATTCCCATTAGGAACTTCGTAGTAGATGAGTATGTAAGCTAGGGGTGGCTCTTTCTTTAGGGCTTAAAGGAAGCTACACAGATTTGGCAAAAATGCATATTCCAAAGGCAGGTATCACTTCTCAGTTGAAAGAGTTGCTGGTAAAAGAACTGGTTTACCACAGTTTGGCATACAGAAATCTCCAACATGCTGCTGGTTGCTCCCAGTAGTGAACAGACTGGCAAAAAAATCCCACCAGTTTTTTTGTAGTAGCCAAGAGCATACTATAGCCAGAAGCATCCACGTTCGCACTACCAAGTTTTTTTGCTGTCTTTGCTCCTTCAGCTCAACATCAGCACCACTTGAGGTTCCAGAAGCAGTTCAGGGAGACACTGTGACCCCTCTCCACCAGCAAGATTCAGAGGATGCCCATAGCACTGGATGAAATGAAAAGCCACATCTTTAAGAGAACAAACAAAAAGAGCTGGGGACAAGCCTTGCCTTAAGCATCTTTTGTTAACACTCAGCCAGTTCCAGACTGATACCCTCACTGTTTGAATGATTTGCATTGGTTTCTACTTCACACTTAACAATACCTGTTCATTCTTGACTTGAACATTTGTTATTCCAGACATCCTTTAAAAGCAGCTCACACATCTGCCAAGAAGGCCAGTGCTGGGCACATTCCTTTTTTAATTTTCTTTTTTTTTTAATCACACTGAAGAAAGATAGACTAGATGAGCTATGACATGCACTTAACCATCCATATGCTCTCCCTCTCATTTATGTGTTGTGTTTTCCTCAATTAAGTATTATGTCAGTAGACATCAGAAGGGTGGAAGAAAGGTCCATCTTTTCATCATTCCCAAATAGTTTATTCTCTCCATGCCCCCAAACTGGTTAATATCTCCACATTTTTTACTCCATTACAGCAAAAGTCTTAGAGTTTTTCCTACTGTTAGAACTCTAGGAAGAAATCTCCTAAGTCCTGTTATATATTCCATCTTTGCTGTGCCTATGAAGAATATGTTCTCAGTTATTTGTGGGTTTCCATTTTCAACGAATATGAACATTCTTATTAACCTTTGCACTGACACCATCTCCTAAAAAGTGCAGGGAGAACAACTGGCTCATTTGAAAAGTTTACATGGAGTCATGTAGACCAAGACGACTGTCTTGATTATCCGGTTTGACTTGCCGTAAAGCATTACACCCACAATTTTTGAATGAGCAATCATAATTTTAAAAGGTCACTCAGCTCTGATTTGAAGAATATAGACAATGGGAGTTTTGGACAGAAGAATCCCAGGCTGACAAAGAGACAAACTGGGATGGCTACATGGAAAGTCTTAGCATAAGAAAGATGGAGAAGTACTGTTCCACTGGAATTGAACGCTGCAGTCATTCTTAAAAATAAACAAGAAAGTCTTTCCTAAATGTTTATCTTGCTCCCTTCCCATGGCAATTTGAAAGACAAAACAGCACACTCTGCATATGCCTAATCAACTTTTAGCATTACGTTTTCACATTCCGCAACTTATCAAAATGCAAACAGCTAATGATTTTTATAAAAGAAGTGAATTAACTGTGTCGCATTAGTAAGTCCTATGATGTTAAAAAGACCAAAAAAATCCAGGTTGATTAAAAAAAAACCCTCAGGAATAGAACTGAATAAACTCTCTTGTTCTTTGTGTTACCCCAGTGTGGGTGACTTGGCTATTTGCAAACAGAGATAAAAATCTGTGAGCAGCGATTTCGACTGCCATGCCTCAACTTGTTCAGGGAGCAATATGCTCATTTGGAGCTTCTGATTTGACTAAATTACATTAAATCAACAGCACAGTGAGGAAAACGAGGGAAGCACAATCAGTGAGATATTCAGAAATATTCTACCCAACATTATTAGCAAAGTTTTATTCAACATAATCTGCTTCAAGAGTCACTAGTGCAGTTGTGAATATCTGTTTAATTTAGATGCCTTCTTCCCCAGTGCCTGGCAGAAGAAAATAAATGCTTACTACCACAGTGCTTTGAGAGCAAGCAAATATTTTTTTGTGGGGTAACCATGCTTAAAAATTACCATCTATGACTAAGGCACAGCGCTTCTAGTGTTCCCTAATTCAGATGGTGGTAAGTTGACACTTTCAATGAGTAAGCAGAAATCAGCCATGACTGTGTAGTAAGTTCTGCACAGCCAAAGGTGATGATAATAGAAACTATTACAGTTTTTGTTTTTCTTTTTAAAAATAGTTGCAAACATAAAGATGACTGAACAGACAGACAGAATCTGTGAAGATCCATAAAGCTTTTAGGAACAGAGCTGGATGCAGCTTGCTTAGGGCCTATAGTATGGAATAAACACACTATCTTTATCCTCAAGTGACCGTATCCTTTACTGAAGTCCCACAATATTGAGCTAATAAAAGCTCAGACCTTAATTAGGGTAAAGAAAACTTATGCCCTTTATGATTTTAAATTGATAGAATTTTAATTGCTATCATCTGCAATGCTATTTTTCAGATTGGCTTTAATGATCATTGTGTAACTGTGCATGTGCTTTTGTAATATAAATAATTCCACCATTTAATTTCAATTTTTTAAAACGGAACAAGGACAAGTCCACCTGATAAACTAATGACCTGCAAAATTTCAGGTATTATCAGATATGAAGAAGATGGCAGGTCAATGCTAAAACTACATTTTCAAAACATGTCTGTAGTAGAAGCTTTCAGCCTAGTAGAGCAGTAGTTATTCTAGCAAACATCTCTGCTTAATTTAGTATGCATCCTTCATTATCTCATTTGTATTGCTACCACTAGTCTTTCTACTGAAACAGTAGCTTTAAACTACCCAAGCAATTCCCAAACAACAATATGGAAAAGCCTTTACATCTCTCTCTTCCAAAAACATGCAATAATCCACACCAGTATTTTGTGGTATGCTTACAAGGTCAACATTTTCAAAAGAATTAATGAAGAGTTCGACTTTCAATTCTGGGGTGCTAATTTTTTAATCCTGTAAAGAGGTGTTTGGAGAATGAGTTTTAGGACTAAATAAGCCATTATCCAGACATGGGATGTCCACTGATGCACATCACTGACAATCTTCTCTGGAGACAGAAAAGCAACCCTTACTCTAGGGAACATAGTAAGGCAACAAATACTGAAAACTGCCACAATGCTACCAACCTCTGCATCACTTTCACTGCTCATCTTTCACTCCAAGGTAAGAAGCTTAAAAAATTACTCTAACCCTATTTTAGGATCACAGAGATTTTTTGGGGGGGGGGGGGGGGGGGGGATTCTTTGTAAAGCAAGGCTTTGTATCTCTTCTGCTCCTTTTCTTCTGCCCTCCTTCCCCAACCCTTGCCTCCTCACTCCAGCAGAGAGAAAGCAGAACAGGTCTGAGGGTTGGAAGGCTTGAAGCAGGTGAAGCTCCTGCTGGAGTGTGGCCCAAGAATTCAGAGAAAAGAAAGATCCCAAGGTCCCTTACTGAGTTGTTATTCCTCCCTTACTGAGTTGTTATTCCTCCCTTTCCCTCCTCCCTTACAGCAGCACAGAAATAAACCAGGAAAAGCATTTAACTTCTGTTTCACTCTTTGCCAGAATGACTGGGAACTCCCAGCTAACACCAATGAACTGGGTGCCTTAGGAAGCCTGAAACTTCCATGTCTTTCTCCTCTCAGAAATTAAGTGGTGCTAGCTGGGTCATACTCACACATATAGTAGGAATATTTTAAAAGAAGAAACCAAGCAAACAAGCCTGACAAAAAAACCCCAACAACAAAACCAAACACCTCACCAGAGTTACCCCTGGACAAACTGTATCATATGTTATGGCAATCAGGGACCAACAAGTTTAAAAACAAAACAAAATACAAAAGAATTGGTAAAAGCTTTAGGCAAGTCTTCAATACTTTCTCATGTTTTATCAAGGTATCAGTTAAACCTGCTTTGTTCAGTGAAACAGCACAGGTAGCAAATCAAGACAGGATCTGATCTGACTGATGGAGAAAAGTTTTTTTTTTTTTTAAAGTAAATTCAACTAGAGCACACTCCAAGAGTTAACAATGTAAAAGAGAGGAAGGAGCTCCGAGGTTAAGGTTAAGGGCAGCATCACAAGGACAACAGACTGAACATAGGAAAAGAAAAATGTTAAGGCTGACATTAGGAAAACATTTATTATCATGAGGATGATTAGATAATGGAATAATTTCCCAAAGGAAGTTGTTGAGTCAAACACTAGAGGCATTCAAAGGAAACCTAGATAAAAATACCAGGCGATTGATCTGGAGGGCAGCCCTGCACTAATGACCCAAGAGGCTCTTTGCAACTCATTGAGGATTCTGCTCTTGAAAACAACAATTCTGAACTTTCCACAGCAACATGTGAACAAAAAGTAAATGCAAAACATTGCACAAAAACAGAGAAGACATTTAACTGGAACCTGGTTTTCAGCTTAGAGATTTTTTCCTCTATAGTACCAATAATCTGTGTCTATATATGCATTCATTACTTCTAGAAAATCCTACCACATATTGATCAGCACAGTGACACTGAGAAAATAAATAAAGCTATGAAATGTATTTTTCCAAAGAAATGACAGGAGCTATAAAACTTGCCTTATGAAACACGATGGACATCATGAAGAAATCCAGCAAGAAATTTTCTGAAATGTCTCTGTAGTCAAATCGGAAGAAGATTACAGTAAAGCTCAAAGTAACAAACTGATTAATAGGATTACAGAATGAGGAGCGGAGGAGTTTCATCCCAGCAACTGTTATCAGGATAATATCACAACTGTAAGAAAGGCAGAAAGAAAAACCTAATCAAGTCAAAGTCATAAAGCATTAAATTATGAAGCTCTTAAATACAAATAGCTGTATCAGATGTATTTTAGATTGCTATGTATATCTCAATCTACACATCTTACTGATTTCTGATATTAATCCTATGTTCTTTTAATAATCACATTTATTTGACCCACGTGCAACTTCGTATTTTTCCCTTATCATTATCACGCACTTGTAATCTGTAATAAAGAGAGAACTCTGTACTAAAAACAGTAGTATTGACTATTAAAAACCAAGAATCTAGAAAGGATATTTTTATATAGCTCTTAAAATAAAATTTCACTTTTGGAAATATCTTGGCACTTCCATTAATACATTACTGTAATTCGAAAAAAAAAACCATCTTGAACCCACCCCAGTTTTTTTATTACTAGAAATTTCACTTGATCACAGAGTTTATAATTACTCTCCTAATTTCATTACACACAATGCCAAAATTCTGGATAGAAACACCCATAGACATGAAGTGCTTAAAATTCTTACCATTGCTCTTGATCGGAAGGTCATCTATTCTATATAGTAATTACTTCATCAGATTAAAAGAAATTGTGTGTTGCATATATGTGTTGTAACATGCATACAGGCTGCATTTTACTCTCCCTTACTATATTCCAGAGAGTGAAATTAAGCTGAGAACTCTCAATAGTAAATGACCACACACAAAAAAACAAGAAGTCCAATTTTTAAAAATTAAAGTGCTTGCTGCTATATTGCCAAGAAGGTAAGTTTCCTCTTTTAACTCTCCAGAAAACTACACAGTTTTCTGTGTAGTAAAAGAAAATACTATTATATGTGAAGGAAAGATGGAGGTAACATGTTGGCACCCCTTGAATTTAAAAAACCACTCCAGTCTCTGTATATATATCTGAACTTAGAGACTTAAGGTTGTTCACATTTTTAAGTTTTGTTTTTAAGATACCTTACAGAATTAGAAAGATGGTCTTGCTTGGACAGCAATTTTGATCTCTTGATAATACAGCCTATTCTGGGGGTTAGATCCTAGAATGGTCTCAGACACATTAATTTTAAGATCACCTGGGTAGACGGGCACTCCCCTGAGATGTGACACAGTACTAGGCTCCAGACCATGAACACTTGCACGGTGCTGTATTTTATCCAACAACCACTAAAAAACACAGGAACAGGGTCAGGAGCAAGAATTGGAATACATGATTCCCCACTCCTGTAAGAATTTCCTTACCACCAACGCAGGAGGAATCAAGAGCAAACCTCCCATAGCCTCTACTTTCCTGCTAAGTGCTTAACAGTTGGACTCCTGTTCAATGAAATGGGCAACACCTCCATCAAGGTTTTTAAAAGGAAGGAAATCAAAGCAGTATTTTGTGAACTCAATCCTGATCACATACTGGGGATGCTGCAAAAACAGCTCTCAGCTCAAAACCTTTGAGTTTATGGGTTCTAGTCAGGATAAGATAAAAGTGATTTATTCAGAAAGCTCTGGGCACGTTCAGAAGTATATCTCAAGCCTCCTAATGAACCATCAAGTCAAATTCAGGAGTATTTAGTAATATTAGGTACCCTCAGGGTTTTCTGGCAGTTGAACAAGTATATTTGGATTGCAGTTTTGCACATTGATGCCCAAGAACCATACTGGATCTATCCCTGAAAAAACAACCCAAACATAATAGACATGCACGAGTAACTCCCTGTAATTGAGAGCCAGTGACTTCTCTTAAGTAAATTACGCACATTCACTTTTTGGGAGATGCATTGGTTTTTTGATGCTGGTGAAAATAGATGGGGACTTCAATGCATAATGAGTGACTTAAAGTAGGCCAGGTATTTGCAAAATGCATGGAAGGTTCTCCTCCATCCTGCTGCGAACCAGGAGAATACCTGCTGCCATGACTGACACTTGACAGGCCAGAAAGCTCTAAACAGGTTGTCATCATTCTAGCAAGGCTCATAAGCCTGTACATTTCCAGGTTGATTTTATTTTATGTAGCATTTATTTATTATTGTGTATCTTCCGTAATGCAGATGCAAATTTATTTGAGTGCAGGTCATTCTAAAGGATCACCAGGACATCACTGTTGGAATGAAATGCCAAGATGACCTTATTTCTCACCTTGTCAAAGCTGTTCTTTTCAATTTGCCCCAGATTTCTGAATGGAAAGCCTAGCAACTAAGCTAGATTCTCAAGTCACTAGAAGCGATCCCACTGTGTCCTGTATGAACCGGTTGGATCTCGCATTCTTCAGAAAAAAGAAAATTCTTGCAACATGGAGGAATTTTCACATGGAAAACTTAGGGATCATAGAGCAGAAAGAAGACTTTTTCCTCACTGGATCTATTAACATGCAGAAAATTTGACAAAAAATGACGTTTTATAAAATAATGCTCTCACAGGTAACAGAAAATTATTTGCTCATTATCCCTCTTCTTTAAAGATATTGCCACACAAGATGCTTTTCCTGGGGTCTTAACTCCCAGCAGAGAGAAAGCAAGAGAGAGAGAGAAGGAGGGCTTATTTCTGAAGCCTCTGTGGCAGGTAACACAGGCAGGCTTTTCAGCTTGTCAGCATGGGTCCCATTAATAACCAGCACATCAGGGTTTGGAAAGCTCAAGCAAACTCCTAGCTGTGAAGGAGCTGTTCTCCCTCCTGAAGAAGCAAACTGCTTCAGTCCTTTAAATCACAAAGCAAGATGAAGCTTCTTTAAAAAATACATTCAAATTGAGAAAAACTCCAAAATGAAATAATGTAAAACGTACCACCTCAGACACTTTCAGACACATAGCAGGAGAGTGCCGCCTTCCCTTCTCTAAGGTATGATGTGGTCTGATCCTTGGGCAGTAAATAACTAAGGAATGTTCCAACAACAGAAAACGAATATTTATGTATTAAAGCAGAGAAAGTACAACCCTCACTAACACTGTATATGGAAGGAGCAAGGAGAACCCAGGATCCCTCACAGGCTTACAGAGTTGAGGAGAAAGAGGTAGGATCTGAGGACGATTGTTTTGTGCGTGGCATTTACACGGTAGCTGTAGGAAAGAGGTGTGCCAGAGAAGAAGGGATACTAGGAGTGTTGTGGATAGACCTCAGTTGCAAGAAAAAGGAGAAAACACAAGTTTTAAATCCAAGGTGGTCACACAGACACAAGGGGGATGGGGAAGGAAAAGATTGTCATGGTTTTCCCCTACAGGCCAAACAATCAGAGGCAGACAAATGTAATTACTTTCTTTAATATCAAGATTTCCGAGGGACTGACTCACTACTTCTGAACACTTGAGGGAGGTGATACTTTAAAGTGCAATCTAGCTTGGAGGAATGACTATGTAAAAATAGCACTTTCCTAACCCTACATAGTTGCTCTGTGCACGTATTCAGTCACGTCTGCTAACTAGTGACAAATGACATTTTGATTACTTTTTAGTTCTCCCAGCCTTGCAGAACCAAATAGAGGGATGAGTATGAACTCAGTTTCACCCTGGACAATACACTTAAACTCCTGAAGCACCTTGGCCTTAGCATCTCCCAAGTGCCTTGGGGAAAAAGGTCAATGGGGAACTACACAGGCTATCTCTGAGTGACTGGTGAGAGTCTCTCTGGAGAAGCAGTTGTCTGGGAGGAATATACAGAAAATTTGACTAACGCCCTAGTCCTAGTTTCAGCCCCTAAAAGAGGGGCCACCTTTTCCTTATAGTTGTGTGGTCCCTAAAGCTGTGTTGCTCTTCAAGAGAGAAGAATAATTAAAACAATATGCAATTTTTACATCAAGGTTATTTTATTTAATATTTAAAGTTAAGAATCTAAGTTATTATTAATACTGAAGAACTCCGCCTCCCCCAGCAGTTTTTCCTGCTACTGGAACCTTCCTTCCTGAACACAGGCTGTTTCTTTGTTTTTATCATCTGCATCACTGTCATTCTGATAAAAAGACTGCAGAAACTCTGCTCACTGGGAATACTGCAGTCACTAAGCCTGCTGAATATCTGCAGTAGGCAAGTCACTGACCAAAATATTTACCATAAAAGGCTGTCTGCAAGGATCAAACTGTGAGACCATGGATCAGCATCACCACTTCTGCTTAGTATCAGAGACATCAGACTTTGGAAAAACTTGTAACCCTACCTTTCTCAAACCACTCAATGCAGGATTACCCACCGTTCTACACTGCTGAATATTTTATTCAGTCTTTCCTTAAAAGACTTCTGTGGTGAAGCTTCTGATAACTCCTTTGGGAGGCTACGCTGTAGTCTTAAAAATCCTCAGTTAGAAAATGTTTCCTGATATCCAGCCTAGATTTCTCATTTTCATCTGATTAATTCTAGTTACCCCACTGTGTTTATGCCCATCAAACACCTGCAGCCTGGTATAGTGTGTCTTGCTTTTAATTGACATTTAGACATTCCATATGTATCTATATATAGATCTCTAATCTTTTCATTTCTCTCTCTCTCACTGGAGTCATGTCTGAGCATGTGCTAAGGTAGTTTTGTTTTTTTTCTTTCAGCAAAGCCAATGATTACTGTATACTGAACTAATAATGCACAAAAGCAAACTGTGACAAGCAGACAGACTTAAAGAAACAAATTTAATTTCTCAATCTTCAATCTAAAACCAAATATTCTACTAATCACATGCTTTGAGTTATAATCTACTTACTGTGTACCAAGCTTCTTGTATTTACTAATTGAGAAAGCATCAATGGTGAGGGCATTCAGTATTATAGCTGGATACAAAATGTATTTCTCAAAGCACTGAAGCCACACATAGAGCCTTTCAAACCACATCAAATGAGCAGCATCTGAAATAGAAATTGAGATAACATCATTTCATCAAGTTATCAGCATTTTTTGTACTGCAATACCATAGAAGAAATGAGTTAGCTCACATTAATAAATATAATCAACTAATTTATGAAACAATGGATTTCATAATTCTTTTGCAATAGAGAAATCATTTTATTCTCTGAATTTAGAGAGTATCTGTTTTGCTGCTTATAACTGCACTCATGAGAAATGCTCAGAAACGGTAAGAGATGGTACATGCTAGATGGTAATTTCTACATAATCCAATTACTAGTCACTATATTAAATAGCACTTTTAGTAATGTAATGACTCCAGAGAGGCCTTCTCCAGCTCTGGCACTGACCTGGTGGATGACCTAGGGAACCTCATTTTAATTCTCTCCTTCCCCATCTTACAGTGGCAAAACACTGTTTATTAAACTGCAAAGTATCATTGACCTCATTGATAAATGAAATATCCTTTGAGATCTAAAGACTGAAGAATTAACGGGAGCTTGAAACTGTCATAGATGTTTCTCAAAACACTTAAACAGCCATTGTAAAAAGTATCTGCCAGGATCACATCATTCACCAGTAAAGAGTATCTTTTTTTGCAGTAGACTTTTCTACTGCATCACAGTGCTTAATATGAGTATTAAACAATAACTGAATGCTCTGAGCAATTCAGCTGCTATGAGAACTTAGGTGAACTGAGTGCAGAAGCACTTCTGTATGGACAAAAATAATGTCTTTATTCTCAACTGAGCTCAGTTAGACAAGGTTATGGGAAAAAAAGTGAACACAAAAAGGCAGAACTTGGTATTGACTCAGAAATAACAATGCCAGCTACTGAATCTCCAGTACTCTTCCCTGCAGAAATGAAAATAATTATGTATACACATCCCACCCTCCCACACCTTTTCAATGACAGGCAAAGAAGACATGTTGAATCAAGAAATTTGTATGTTCTAAAGGCACAGTTCTATATTGTATAGGCTCAAAGAGAAAAAACTAAAAACAATCCTTCCAAATTAGCTTTCAGTCATGCTTTGCCAGTACCTTAAGCTAAGGTAATACTCTTGCAAAAATCTGCCTTCAGAAAATATGATCAACTTCTGTTTCTTGTTGTAACGTAAAAATATTTCCTCCTTTTATTACCTAAAGGCCACCTCCTAAAAGTTCATACACAAAGCGAAATGTCCATTTTGGAACCTACTGTTATTCTCCGTTCCTCTCTCTTCCTCCTGAACTACAAATTGCTCTCAGAGCTCCAGTCAAGAACTTCACCCAGCTGCCCAGAACTGAACTCCGTGTAAGAACTCAAGCTTGAATAAAGAGATGTGCATATCAAGTAGACCAAAAAGAAGGTAGCTGCAGAAGCAGAGAGAGATGTGTGCAGACAACGCAGACAGAAAAAAAGAGCTCACGTTCAGAGGGCGTCCAGGGAAAGATGTGGATGATTTGAAATGGCTTACATGAATCTGTGGGGTATGAAAGCAGGGGTGGGAAGGAAGGAGAAGAAAAAATAATCTTTAGTGTTTCAGGGTTTCTTTCTCACCCAGTCCTGCACTACTTTCTACACATTATTATACCATAAGCTCATACATCTTGACCTCAGCCTTTCTTCCTGCAGTCAGGCAAAACAATGACAAGTAATAAATGAGTTCTCATACGGGTATCATGAGAACTGGTGTGATAATTGCTGTGGAAGGCCTGGAAGTTTGAACTCATCCAGAGTCTGTGAAACAAAGCCAGGAATAAACTTGTGGAATTGAAAATAAGCCACCTGCTCGTCTAATTGCAAGCAAACATTTGTCTCCCCATAGCACTACACTTGTCAAAAATTAGGAAGCTGAAAATGAAATTCTATGCAGTAAAAGCTCCTCACAGACATCCTGGTTTGTGTACTTGTCCTTTCATTGTCCACGCCTGACAACTGTCCAAGCTTCTCTTGCTATACAAACAGGGAACCTTTAAGTTCGGCTCCTACATTTTTCTTACAGACTAAAAGAAAGAAGACAGCCTGTCAGACATATCTATCAAAGGGATTACACAACCTTTTCCTCAGCCTGTCTCATCTCAGAACATGATAAAAAGCCTCTGCAGCAGCCTAAGGGACTGAAATATATTTTTTTTTACTCTTGTTTTCTAACACACAACACCAGATACATGCAATAATACTTAAGCCCCGAAGTGCAGAAATGGACCACGTATAAAATGAGGACCCACAAAAGAAGGAAGAAAGCCTGTTGCCTGCAGCAGGTAGCATGGGAAATGCAGCTGATCTCAAAGCAGAAGGAAACCCATCTGTGGAGATCAGTCTGGCAGACCTCTACCCTCAACCTTTTCAAAAGCCGAGTCACTGCATTTAGGAAAACAATGTTTTCTGACAAATGAAGACAGACTTAATCAGGACAAGGGAAAGAAATCCTACAGTAGTCTTTTATGATTAAGTGATGTAACAAACAATAAAACTTGGGTATTCATCAGAATTATTGATTATGAGGGAGAGAAAGCCCTGAACAATGTTTTCAGTTGGGCATGATCCTTAATAAGATTTGTATTTCTACTACACTTTCCTTGGCGTATTGCAGTAAAAGTTAAAGGCAACCTTCAATCAAGTCTCTTGGGTACTTTTTTCATACCCAAGTCTTGTTTGGAATGTAATCATTTTGAAAGACATGTTTTTTTTTAAAAAAAGATTTAAATCCTTAATGCACGGTTTTGCAGAGAGTGATCTGAACTCTTCTGTTGTCAGGTTGAAGATCAGACTAAAGTCTCTCAGCAGACTGTGTTCTGACAACACTGTCTTCAAACACCTCAGGAACATACATTGAGAATGATTAAGGCACAGGATCCATCAAGAAATGACAAGCAAGCTTTTGGCTGGTAGCAAAGGCAAGATGAGAGCTGAGGGGGAAAAACAAAAAGCTGTGCTGCTCAAAGTACACTGACTGCAGGAATAACCATATCAGAACAGGAAATCAGACCTTGACATACTAAAATATTTACCGATACTCACATGTATCAGGATGTTACACGCTGAAGCCAGCAGACATTAGCAAGAACAAATCTTCAAGAAAATTTCACAGTACCTTTCAATTTTAATGTTTCTCTAAAAGTGTTATGATGGAAATTAGAACTCTAAGTTGCACTACCCATGCTGTTCAAATGATATAGAGTTGTATGTCAGAAAGTAGAAAAAATTCTGCCTCAATTTTATCAATCATTTAAGTTTTTAAATTATATAAAATGCCAGCGTATTAAGCATGAATTATAACATATCAAGCAACACAGCAAATAACAGTACTATAATGTAAAAGCAAAAGGCAGATCAGACAATGGCCACTTACGTCCAGTAAGATGATTAAGGGACAGGAGCATTTGACACAGGAGGAGAGGCTGGGAGAGCTGGGATTGCTTAGCCTTGAAAAGAAAAGGCTCAGGGTGCATCTTATTAATGCCTCACTGGGGGCATTTTGGGGGTATAAATACCTGATGGGGAGAGTAAAGTTGATGGAGCCAGGCTGTTCTCAGTAGTGCCCAGTGACAGGACAAAAGGAAATGGGCAGAAACTGAAATTCCATTTCAACATAAGAAAAAAACCCAACCAAAACAACCTTTCTTACTGTAAGGATGATCGAATGCTAGAACAGGTTGTCCAGAAAGGTTGTGGAGTCTCCATGCTTGAAGATATTCAAGACTGGACACAGCCCTGAGCAGCCTGCTCTAGCTGACCCTGCTCTGAGCAGGGGCGTTGGACTAGACAATCTCCAGAGGTGCCTGCCCAGCCTCAGTCCTTCTGTGCAGTGGTCTCAGGAGACAACTTCTACAGGTTCAAAGATTTGTTGGTGATCAGGGGGGAAAAATGGAAATGATGGGCTATGCATGCTATTCAAAAGAGGGAAATGTAAAGCAGAATTTATTCTCCCTGCTCTGTTCCTTTTGGATTATTTTTTAAACCAAGACAAGCTGCAAGTCATTGCATCCATTGTTTAGAAAAGATTTTATTACAAACCTCTCACTTCCCGTTGCTGGTGCTCTTTGCTTTTAAGTATGGGGTGGGAGATCCACAGCCAGGGATGATGCTTGCGAAGCTGAGGAAGTATGTAATGTGTTACAAATCCCACAGTCCATGCTAAAGCAAACAGGACAATGCTGAGAAATGGCTGGGCCAAAAGAGAAAAAACGAAACATGGTTATAATTTGCAAACAGTATTTTCATATATAACTTTTTTTAACAATTTTTAACAGTTCCTATACTTGTATTTTTGTGCAATTAATTTTTATTCCTGTGTTCAAACTCTCTGACTCCACAAGTGGAGATGGATTTTGAAATATCTACTTTGCACACACAATTAACCAATTTTTTCCTCCCTAATTGGAAGAAAAAAGATCAGACTTACTCATTCTGTCCCCCAGGTTCCACATCATAAAAGAGATGTGGATATGCAGAGGTTTAAGGAAAGAGATGTCAAATAAGTAACACTAAAATTAATACAAATATCCATAAACTAACTGCCTTGCACATAAAAAAATGTTACCATGACAAGTAAATACATTTTCACTAAGTTCTCTTCCACATTGTCTATTCTTTCCAGTTAAAGCACCCGGTGGTTTTGCATAAAAGAGATAATACCCGGGGGGTGAGGGAGGGGAAAAAAAAAAAAAAAAAGAAAAAAAAAAAGGACAGATACGCACCCTTAATGATAGGAATACAGTACTGGCACTGACAGCAAATGACAGAACAGCAGCCACTGTGCAGACAATGAGATCCGACTTCAAGACTTCCTTCTGTGAAAGTAAGTATTTTATACAAAATTAGCAAGCCAATACTATTTTAACCAAAGTAAACGACACTGTTCTCAATTACTCGCAGTCTGCATTATGATAAGGCTAATCAGCACTCCCTGATACAAAAGTATTTTCTCCACTTTGCTTTGGGAAATTATTTCTTCACACTCTAGGTTTGTCAAAATAATCACATTTAAATTCATCATGCCTAGTTTTAAATTATATTTTTAAATAACATAGTTTTAAGATTGGAGAAATGAAAGCAATACATTTTCATACCGAGTCTGATTCTGTTTAAGGAATATAACTCTCTTACATTATGAGTTTTTTATTTTTGGGAATCAAAATTCTGGTTCCATTTCCTATTTGCAACCATTAAGATTTCTTCAGATTCACTTTCTCTTGCATTACTGAAATGACACGTGCTTTTCTGTAATGTCTTTAGAGACATGAAGTTAATACATTTATTATGTTCTAAAGTGACATGTCCCATTCTCTGATTTTCTGTATTGCAAGCCAAATTTCGGCAAGATTTTATGGATTTCAGACAAGGCCTTTTTCTAGTGTCACTGAATGATAATGAAAGGACATATCTGCCTTTACATAAAGATCTATAACTAGGGTAGGAGTAATTTTGTTTCTAAAGACTGGAAAATATCACTGTCTTTCCAGCCCGTTTTTCTTGTAATTAAAATGTCATTCTCAGTAAACAAATAAACAAGATAGCTTGCGAGCTGTGTGATCTTCTGAATTGTACTTTGGAGGCCACCCAAAGGTCTTTGTGAGTAAATGAAAATCTTGTCTTAGATTTATGAGAGGCACATTTTAGTTCAGCCCTCAATACTACTTCTAAGTTATCAAATGAGTAACTGTTTGTTGCTCTAGGTTTAGAAACTGATTTATGCTGCAATTCAAAGACATCTAGAAACAACATGTGAAATGCAACACTGTTGTTAGAATTAGAAGCTCATCCGATTTCCTGGTGCTGCAATCTAAGTAGTCTTCATGTATCTCATCAGAGAAAAAGAAAGAAAACTAAAATAATGATGGGATAGCAAACCTATGAATAAGGGAGATAAAAAAGAAAGCAAGCAGAACAAGTGAACAACAGAAGGGTTGCGAATTACAGGGGAAGCTGGTAGCAACCACTATATTTAGGCTGCCTATCACTCCCAGTTATGGAAGATGCTTCATAGTAAAAGGTCACAAGCATCAGCACTTCCACTTACTTAGGACTAAAAAGCCTTCAGGCTCAAGAAGTACTTTTGCTTTGTCCCAGGAAACTCCAATCTGGTTTAGCTGAATTCTCAAGTGATCACCACTGTTCTTCCCTTTCCCAGGCTGCTCAAGAGCACACACCTCCAGAAGAACAGCGCTCCCTCCCCTCCAAGAGCTGCGCCCTCTCCAGACAGCCCTGTACTCCACATGGACTACAGGTAGGACGGTGTAGGAGCAGAGTTAGGTCTTCCTAACTCTTCCCGACCATCTTTTTAAAACATAGCACTGCTGGCCTTGTTCCTTGCTTCTTGGCCGTCGTATACAACAGGAGAACCACAACATGAGGGACCTCGCAGGAAAGGCCTTCTCTTCCCTGAACAAACCTTTGATCCCTGCCTGTCCCCACAGGTCCTCTCCGTTGAGTTCAGACCTTCTCTCACTAGCAAGTTGTGTATCCATCTCTAAGTCAAGTGTTTTAGCATGTGGAGCAGTACTGAAAAATCGTGGTCAAAACCCTAATAAAGATAAGGGAATTATTACCAATGCATGTAATGGAAATCATTTTTTTTTAGTCTTTCCAAATTATTTTAAAGATGTTGCATACAAAATCTACATAAAGCAGCAGTATTTAGCTTGTAAAATTCAGTATCTGAGAAAGCTAAGCAGTGCCAGATTTATATGGCACTATTTCAGCCCTTTTGTGAATACATGTTATGAGAAGCCTTGATCAAGTATCATTTTCCGCACAGCTGAATCCAACTACTCAATAGTCTAAAACAAGCTTATAAGAACAAAATACTCAACAGTCTAAAACAAGCTTATAAGAACAACAAACACACTCCAATCATATTTTCAAGCTCTTCTGTACAACCAGAAAGGATTACTATTAAAATGACTCACTCCTCTCACAATCAGGTGACTGACGAAGCTGCCATTTTAAGAACTACATCAAATATTAAGAATTTAGCTGTAAAATCAGCAGAGGTGATAACAATGGACATTTTGGGAAGAGGCGGCATCCTTACTTTCCATTCTGTGCCAGGTCACCAAGGAGAATCTTTTCAGAAGATTACAGTCAAAAGAGAATGTATTACACAGATTATATTGCACAGGACTGGTATTTCCCACCCTTCCCATCTTTGAGTTTGCAAGCGTCCTTTTTAGGGTGCTCTCACTGCTTTTGACCCATTAACAATCCCATACAGGAAAAGGCCCATGTTTTTAAAGCAATTATTATTATTCATGTACTTAAACCCAAATCTGACAATTGCATTCCAACTCTGGCAACATCTAAAGTGTTTAAAGTATCATATATGCCCAGGCTTGCCCTTTTGCCCTTGCACAGAACCGCTTCAAAATGTAAATGTACTGCTCAGCTGCTGACTTGCACAGTGGTCCCCACAGGAGCTCCTTCTTGATGTGGCAGATGCTTTCAAACCTCACAAAATTCAGGGGTTTTTCCTTCTAAAACAAAGCTGAGCAGTAGTTGCTTTTGTTTCATGTCATGGCATAGTGGTCAGGGCCCCCAGGAAACAGCTGACCCTGGGCAGTTATCTCTCTGACTGAGGGGGATTCAGAGCTACCTTCCAGAAGAAAACCTTGGGTATCCACCTACAGGGTGCTGTGGGTGGATTTGCTGAAGGCAGCTAGCTCCTGCAAAGCACATGCCTACCTTGGACACAAGTCTGTTCCCCATCCTGCATTTAGACCCAACTGTCTAAAGCACGATTTTGGATTCCATTCCCAAGCCCAGGCACTTCTGAATTGAATGCTGAATAGCCCTATGATGTGATGCTTGAGTCCTTCATTGCAATTGGTCCAACATGGAAAAGTTAAGCTCTGATCATAGTTAAAATCTCTGCAGTTAGAGATAATCACTGTTATAGTTTGGGCTGAAAGCAGGTGTTCTTTTTTCTCCATTTTACACTCAAGGAAAAAAAGAAACTCCAAACCAACACCACTGCATTTGATGCCTCAGAGATTTTACAAGCAGAATATACTATAGTGGCACTTTCTAAAAATTATTCTTTTCAATTATGCTTTTGGAGCTTTGTACAAATCCTTTTACTAGCTATCTAAATGTTTGTATTAAAGGCCAGGAAGGAAGCTGAGTTTGAATGTAACACATTAGCACCCTCAGGCCACTGGTTAATCTAGTAATCAGCCATGTGGATGCCTATAGAAATTAATTATAATGGTAGGAAGCTCCATTCTCAAAGTTGAATGGTCAATTATCCATCACAGCTGCTTTATAATTCAGGCTTCCAAAGCTGGCAATTCTTACACAGTTATTCAAGCAAAGGAAAATAGTAAAGGTCATGTAACTAAACATTAGAGATGCTGTATTTATTATTCCTAACATCAATGCAAAGCCACTACAGAATACAACACATTAATTTTCAATATTAACCTTGTTTGCTTTCAGCTCCTTGAGGAGGTGATTTGGTTCTGTACGCCTCAGGATTTCTGATTAAAATGGGTCTTATTTAAATGGCATGTTATGTAGACCATATGTCTGTACACAGATGAGGGCAAGGCTGGCTGTTGTGTTGCATCCTGCCATCTCTTGCCACTGACAGGGGGTTAGGAACACTCTCCTCGCAAAGGAGCACTCTCAGAGGAAAAAACAAACTACCACCATGAAATCTCCTTCAAATGCTGACACACTGTTTCACCCAGTTTCTGAACTGTTTGAAGATCCCCTTGCAGATGTTCTGGAAGCTATTTAAAATTGGCTTTTAAGAGTCAGCTGGGTTCTACATCCTAAACACGATTGCTGTTGCTGAAGCAAGTCAGCAGAGACTGTGGCTTGATTGTACTCCTCAAACTTGAGGCACACGCATTTTCTCCTGCCTCAATTCTTCTCTACTTGTTGTATTAGCACTGCACTGTGAGATAGCAGCAGGAGTCTCCTGGCAAACTGGTTAGTGTTTAATTGAGACAGAGGTACCAGATAACACAGGGGCTAGACAAAGAGCCTGAATTAATCAGAAATTACCCTCTCTTTCTTCAAGAGATCTCCCAGCGTGGAATAATTAGCACTGCTAATTGACATTGTAAGCAAACACATTTGCTTACAGTTTTTATAAAGATTGAGGGAAGCCTGGACAGAGGAAAAAAAAAAACATGAAGGCAAAGAACTAGCAAGCTCCAGCAACGCTGAAGGAAAGCAGCCTCTGTCTAAAAGCAGCAGCAGCAGCATAAAGTATCAAATGTACAGAGCAGAAAAGTGCCAATCCCCCAAACCAGGAACATCCTGGAAAGCAAAAGGTGCCAGGAATCCCACTTAATTAAAGGTAAAAAAACACTGCCAAAACATGACAGGAATGAGACACGGTGAAGAGAAGAACTGGCCAGTCCCACCGCAGTCCTCCCTGCGCTTCTGTATCTTCCGCCCCAGTGGCTCAAGGGCCCAAGTGCGGTTGAACCACATGGTAACTGTGTTAGCATAAGACATCAGATCCCTGTCCACATTAGACACAAAAATAGGTCGAGAGTCTGCAGCATGACTCTATTCTGAAAATACAGCTAGGATTTTAGATGTGAATTTGTTCATTCTTTTGTTTTTTTTGTTTTCAATATACTGAAGCCTTGCTCAAGGTTTCCCTCTGCACTATGAAATGAAACGAGTTAAGTGGACAGCCGCAGTAACTGCTTCAGTCCCCTGGTAAGTCTCCATCTGCAGAACAGATGAGATAAGACTCGGTACTGCTCTAAGAAGGGCACTATCAGCAAAAGATACAAGTGGGATAGAAATATGGGGGAACAAGCAGCTTTGCATTACATCTGCCATACAGCGCCCATGTACAAGAATGGACTGACAATGAACTGTGGCAATAACCTACACAGCAGAAATATCACAGAATATAGCAAAACTTTAACATAAATACTTTGGTTTTTACTCTGTTACTAGCTGGACTTTCAAATTGCGGTGTGACCCTGTTGCAAACAGCTTAGTTTGCAAGAAACTGCAGCTCAATACAGGCATCAAGAAATAGACATATTACTTAACCTTATGTGGGCCTTATTAGAGTAAGCACAACATTATACGTGGTAGAAAGTAACAACCTAAGCAGCAGTTTAGCAAAGAAAAGTAGAAAACATTGGTAGTGTGGGATCAACTCATGTGCTGAATGTAGGCTGTGTAACACCTTGTAAAATGCCCAACAAATATGAAACAAGATGTTCAGGAGAGATGCATCCCTTCGAAGGTACAGCTGGAGGCCAGGCCAGCTACCGCACTTGCAACCTAGGCACTATGGACTCTCAGGTCATGTCTAAGGGTCAAAAAAAGGCAGCCTGTCTTCCAGGCACTCTCTGAACACTCCTTGCTTCTGCAAGCTTTCAGGAATTCAGGAATAATTGCCTACATTGCAAATGCTCAGATGCAGGCATTAGGGATATAGTCAGGAGGAAAGGCTGTCTGACAGCCGGGAAGCAGGACAGTTCATGACTCTAAGAAGTGTCAAACATCCCTTAATACCTTTGACGATCTTCCCACATGGACTCGTTATAAGATCAACCTCCCCTGAGTAACAGTTAGTGAGGTTTTTTTATATAAAAAGACACAAAAAGGAAGATGGGTCACTTTGGATGTTTAAGCTGAAGTGGGAAATAAGTTGACACAAACTTAGAGCTAAGTGCCAGACAGTAGGAAATAAACAGCCTGCCAAGCAAAGAAGAGCGGATGAAACGGCAATACTTGGCACCAGGCATGTACCTCCCTCTCTCATACTGGTCAAGTTTCACATGCTTCTTCCATCTCTAGGTCAAAGTCTGGTCTATGCTCCACCTGGCTTGGCTGGGGTGGAGGGCATACAGTCAAGAGTA